TAGCAACCAAAGCAACCCACCTCGAAGTAGTTAGTGACATAAAAGTAGAGGCATTCTTAGCAGCACTCCGAAGATTCACTGTCAGAAGAGGACATTGTGCGAATATTTACAGCGATAACGGAACCACATTCGTAGGAGCAGCACGAGTATCCGAAGATGAAATCACAGGATTGATACGATCACACTCTGTGCAAAACACAATCGTCAACTTAGGAACATAATGGCACTTCATCCCACCAGCAGCTCCACATTTTAGAGGAAAATGAGAGGCAGGTGTGAAATGTATGTATGAAGCACAATCTCAAGAGAGTAATTGAAGACTGTCCTCTGACCTATGAAAAATCAACGACGTTAGTGTATCAAATCGAAACCGATGATTTCAACATCTTGATACCAGGACACTTTCTTATAGGAAGAGATCTGCTAGCACCACCAAGCTTGAACTCGACAGAACATTTTAACCTATCTCAACAATGGAGACACGTACAAAAATTAAAGAAAAACATTTGGATCGCATGGTGTAGAGAATACCTCAACAGGCTACAGCAAAGATACAAATGGAAGACTCAGACTAACAATATACGAGTAGGAACAATGGTCCTAATCAAAGAAGAAAATATATAAACCCCAACCAGTGGCCTCTGGGGAGAATAGTAGAAACTCATCAGGGACAAGTTGGAGCAGTCCGCGAGGTAACAATAAAGAGAGCAGGTGGTTCCACACAAAAAAACGATTCACAAGATAATTCCTCTACCGACAGAAGACCCATACCATTTAACAACCATTCATAATCAGTCAGAAATAAGGAGATCAGATCGTCTCCGGAACATAGCACCAACATCAATAAAATTATATTTATTGTTCTTCCTAGCAGCTATAATGATGATGATCACAACCACCACTGCAGAAAAAGGAATTGAAATCAAATATCCGCAATATGGATTCTACGTTGAACACCTTGGATCAGCAAGAATTGATAGAGGTACTTTTGGAATTGAGACAATGTATTCCAAGAGCAAAACCAAAACCGACACCGTAGTCAGCCAGTTCATCATATCTCTCGCACAGCATTTAGAAGAAATGGAAAATCACTCCAAATGGATATTCGCGACCATTGACGACATTCACCACAGAACCAAGAGAGGACTGTTTGGAAAATTTCTGCTTGCGGTTTTTGGAGTGAACGACGAAGTATATCAAGATATCCGTGCAATCAACAATAATCAGGAAGAACTCATCATAGCATCCAACTACCAAATAAAGTTTATGATTTTGGCCCTCACAAAATTCAACAAAACCGAAGCCAGAATTACGAATAAACTACAACATTTCCAAAAACGACTCAACGAAGGAATAGATAAGCTATCAACGGCATGCAAAATTGGTACAAACAAAAGGACACCAATGCACTCAACATTCACCTATTGAGTGCATACCAAGTAGCCACCAACTTCATCAGCAAAACCAACGAGTATTACGATAAATTGCTGAACATTGACTTCAAAAGAGGTACAATATATGACCAAGTTTCACCACCATATATCAACGCCGTCATTCAAAAATCCAATCGAAAACTGCCAAACAACCTGGAAATCGTTTCGGCAGCATTGTCCACTAGATTAGTCATCAACAACACGAACATCAAGGTGTGTGAATATTTTCTAATTATTGACGTGACGGAATTCACCATAGTGAGAGCAACGCCGATTCCACTGAGAATTGAGAATGAAACATACTGGGCTTTGGACCTTCCCGATTATTACACCACTATCGACTACAACAGTCAAACTTACTTTCAGCTCCATGAAAGCGACCTCCAAAAGTGCATACGGCGCTACCCGCACCATCTCATCTGTTCTCCACATTGAATCTAATCCGTCCTGCATCGTTAACGAAATGTATGAACGGCCACAGCCCAGGCATTGCCACATACAACAACAAAGACTACAGGGCATCCTCTGGAAACGACTATACACAACGAGTACATTGATGTGTTACAAGAGTATCGGCTGTATGCAACGGAGCGCGGGAAGATGTAGCAATAAATACAACAGGAATAATTCAGATTTTCCAGGACAGACAAAACAGAATATTCTAACTCCCAAAAGAAGCGCAAGAGTTCCAGTTTCAGGCAGCTCTGTGGAAGCTGTACCCTTAATCTTCAATGGTACCCTCCACAAACACACACCTTCATATCTAGCCATCGAGCCTGTGTTTAGAGACACCGATGGTTTTGGAGAACTAGTAACCTCGAAGATAAACTTCATAATACAGTGTGGCGCACCACTCCGCAGCTACCAGCAGCATTACAACAATAGTCATCATCATTATGGTGATAGCAGGATGGCAGGCAACAAAATTAATCAGCAGAAGACGTCAAAAGCAGCAACCAGGTCAACACCAAGACCAAAACGAAGAAATAGAGCTGATGTTTCTACATTCTTCCGAACTTTCCCTAGTTTCCAAAATTTACGGCGATAATAATTATTACATCTCCTTGTCTAATTGGTCGAGCATCTGAATTAAATTTCGAACATCTAGTTAAAGTAGATAAATACTCCTTAGTCCCCAAAAAAAAATTCTACCTAACTTTGCGAATTTCTCCATTATTTTTCTCAAATTACAAATTGAGGCACATACAATATTTAATTTAGTGAAGCTCAAATGGCCAACCCAAATGCAAGCTTACATACATAATGCTTCATACTAAGCTCTGCCTAAACAAGTAATACATATTTGATATGTAATTGATGTGTAAACAATCCCTAGTAAATGTTTTACACTAAACTGTGAACGATTAAATTGCTACGTAGCCGGCCGGGCTTCACTTCACAAGTGAGTTTAGCTTTCAAAATACCAAAATTATTTACCAGGTAGAATGGCTTTTAAATTATCATTCTAGAGGTATTTTATGTACAAAAACCACACAATCCTTCTCACGAAAGCAAATAGTAGCTAAGCCAAAAGATACACAATATTCTCAAAGAAACTGCTCTGTTTCAAAAACAAACTTCTCAAAAATAATAGGGCCCTTTTTACGTAGGTATAAAAACCCATTTAATGTGAACCTCGAAAATATATTTCAGCCTATAATAAAACAAAAAAATTGCTTGTAGAAAATAGCTCTAAACACGATTACCCTCCAGGGACTTTTTAGCACTCCCGCGACTTTCTAGACCTAAAAAAAAATATATCCCGCATCATTTTTTAAAACGTTCTGCGTGCGTTAACAAGGGCGTAAAAACGGAAATTGGAAACGCCAAAAAAACTGCGCGAAAAACATATTTGCGCTATAGACGTCGAAAAACTGCTGGTATATTTATGTAGCAGGCATATTTCCTCTTGCCTTTCCAATGTTAAACCGCCGAATTTCCTGTGGGAACCTTCTAGAATTTTTCTCATCTACTTGAAAGTTCCATTGAGAAATTCCCAGTTATATTTCGGTGCAGTCTTGGATTGGATTAAATTTTCATATCATTTTTGTGTCTTTCGAGGCTAGTTTTCACCATATATATTTCTGTTAAGTCTATACAAAATGAATTGCTTCAAAACAAAGGTAAATATTTAGTTAAACAAAGCAGACAGCTTAGACAAGTAAATTCACAAGTGAGATAAACTTTACCTAGTATTTATATAACATCTATTGTTGGGGAAGTCGTTATAAACAATGGCTGATCTAACTTTAAGTTTAAAATTAACTACTGACATGTGAGACATAATTATTATTATAATGAATATGCTCAATTTTAGTAATTTTACTTCAACTTGTTACGGTGAATTTCACTTTCTTTCTTTCTCTTTTTAAAAATAGCTCGAGAGTTAAAAATTCAACCGTCTGTCGGGTTCATTCCAGAATTATCCTAGAAAGGAAAACTTTCCAACAAATACTTCAAAAGTTCCAATATCAGCGACACCAGAAATTTTCTTACTACACAAAAAGCCTGGGAGAAAAACTTGTAGATCTCATTCAGACCTACAAAAAAGCTGATTAGAGTTACCCCTTCACGGGGCACCGTTTTTGAGAATATCGACTTCGAATATTTCAATACTTTTTCAGAGAATTTTCACCTTTGACGGCGGAGACAGAAATTTTGTAGGTAATTTAATCCTCCTTCGAAAAAAACCTGATTGAAGAAAATCGGTTCAAAAATACCGAAGTTATAAGCGAAAATGTGGCGCCGTGTCGAATTTCCAAAATTTTCCAGGATCTAAATTTTTTTATTTTTTGCGGGCTTAGGAAGCCTCGGAACAAAAAACGCCTAGAGACATTTTCGACGTATTTTTTGTTCCTCTATCCGATGGTATTTTTTATTTTTCAAAGTTTGCATAGGTAAGTGCAGGACGCGTATATAATATATACATATTATGCACCATGCCATTTTTCAAAATTGGGGGGATAGGGGCTAAAACCTTTCCGAGAGGTCGTAGAGAACTGAAACTTGGAATATCAACTTTTTTAAATTTACCATTCCAAATTTCGTCCGCATCGAAAAAATTTTTTTTTAGGATTTCCTAGGGGGCTTTGCTTTTAGGTAGAGGCCCCCCGTATTTTTTTTTTCGATAAGGCTCATGTTCCACGACATATGTACCAAATTTCAGCTCGATAGGACCATCGGTTCGTTCTCAGGGAATTTTTGAAAATTAATGTATCTTCCCCACCGGTGGAGGTAATAGATCACTGCTATGGTTTCAAAGAGACCTTGGGTCGTCGTTTAATACAGTCCAGGTGCTTGATCCAAGTGCAATTAGATTAGAACTTGGATCAAGTAAGTAGGCAGCTAGCCTAATGTAAGTACCTATCCAACTTGACTAGGATAAGCAGTTGATAGGATCCAAGTTAGGTGTGCGCAGCATCCAAGGGTACTTGATGCAAGTCCACTTGGACCGTATCATCCTGGCTTTAATTCATTATCAATAATCTTCAAAAATTCGATGTGTTGAAAGTTTTTCTTTTTATAATTTCAATAATGAACAGTTTTTAAATATGTAACGTAACTTACCGTTCTGTCGCCTGGATGTTTCACTCTACAATTTAACAAAGCCGACTGGCCCACAACTGCTGTGACATTTTTAGGTCCGATATCGTCAAAATACGGCTTCTGAGGTTTTCCCGGAAGTCCATCGATCAATTTCGATTTACCCTGTGTCGATTCTGCGGATTCTTGTGCCGTTGAGCTTACGAAATTCGATGTACCTGAAACAAATATTTACTCGATGAGAGTATTTAATTTTTTTTTTCAATGGAGAGTAAAGTAAATAGGAAAACTTTTGCCTGTTACAAACAGTAAAATATTTATGTTAGAAAAGGAAAATAAAATTGTTCTGTTCTAAACATACAACCGAGCAACTTATATTTATTTCATAATACTGGTTTCATGAAATTAAAAGTTTAAGTTATTTAGAAAACGCTTCAGGGAATTTGTGGACAGCTTACCAATTTACCTTTACATTCTACTATGAAGAAACATCATACAACCATTATCTGGTAATATCTAAGTTCTGGATTTTTCCCTTTATTTAAAACTACGTCTGACGTGATTCTTCAAAATGCGTATTCGTTTGAATTTTGCTTTGCAAGTGTCACATTCAAAAGAATAAACATCCGAATGTGTTAGTTTGTGATTCTTCAAATCCGTTTTTCATTTAAATTTTGCTTTGCAAGTGTCACATTCAAAAGGAAAAATATCCGAGTGTATCAGTTGGTGACTTTTTAAATGGCATTTTCGGTTAAAATTTGCTTTGCAAGTTTCACACTCGAAAGCATAAATATTCGAGTGTGTCAGTTGATGACTCTTCAAGTCGAGTTTTCGTTTAAATTTCACTTTGCAAGTATCGGATTCAAAAGGAAAAATATCCGAGTGTATCAGTTGGTGACTCTTCAACTCAAATTTTCATTTAAACTTGGCTTTGCAAGTGTCGCATTCAAAAGTATAAAAATTCGAATGTGTTAGTTTATGTTTCTTCAAATAGCCGTTTCGTTTAAATTTTGCTTTGCAAGTTTCACATTCGAAATTATCAATATCCGAATATATTCGTTTGTGATCCTCCAATTCGGTTTCCCTACCCTTGCACTTGTATAAGGATTTTCTAGTTATTGTGAACAGGTTTAAGGCAGGTTTAACCCAAACTAACTCGATTTCAGTGGCTGAAAAATCTATATCATAATGAAAATCTGTATCATAGTGAAGTTCATTATGAAACAGATTTTAATCGTTTAATAAGCGTATATAAACGTCAGTGGAAAAATTATTTTACGACACTGGCTTTTATTAAGTCGAGATGCATGAAAATTCGATACCCAAGACAGGATTTAATGTTGAAAATAGTCATTACAAATTTAACAGAATGCCCTTAGGACTAAAGAACGCACCGGCAACCTTCCAAAGAGTGATGGATAATGTATTACTAGGATTACAGAATAGAATATGTCTAGTATTAGGCAATTTAATCCATCTGTCAAAAAGGAAAATTCAATATGGCGTAACGGCCAAGCAAGCTTGTTTTGAATATGTTTTTATGTGTATTTTAAATTATTTTGCTTAGAGTTTTGCTTGTAACTTTGATTTTGATTATTTAATACGATATTTGTTGACTAGGTACCTAAACTATTAAATCGGGCTGAAAATAGATATTTTTTTGTGTTTTTTGGCCCATGTGTGGCCGCCACGCCATCTTGAATGTCACGTGGTTTGAATTGCCTAATACATGGATGATATAATTTTTTCCACTACACTTCATGAACACGTGAAAAATTTAAAGAGAGTATTTGAGAGCAAGTTGCAACTAACTTGGGAACTTTTCATTTTGTTTGTAGTTATAAATATTTGTAAAGTATGGCTTTTGATGAATTGGTTCCTGTTTCCGTTATGCACCTTTCACTGAACTTGACAAGTACAAGAACACCGCTCTATGTTCAAACTCATAACGAAACCTGGTACCATCTGCCCATGATTTGACTGATGTACCCATAAAATATACAGACGGCACTTTGAGTATAGTCATGAAGAGGCAACTCTATTTGTAACATTTTGGCTGATATATTTCCTTGTAGCAGAACTGGAATTATTGAAAATTCAAAGGAATGAGAATGAGAAACACTCTCTCCTCTCTACTTGGAAATGAAGGTTCATTCCAATGACAAACAGAAACAAAATATTCGAACATTACATGCTCTGGGAATTTCGGTTTCATATGATCGTATCATGGAAGTAAGGAAGCAGCTTGCACAAGCTGTCTATAAGCGGCGGCAAGAGGATGGAGTTATTGTACCCACAAACATCAAGGGAAAAGTATTTGTGACGACTGCAGTGGACAACATTGATGAGTCAGGTCGTTATGAACTATTGAGGAGGATCCTCCACCACTCACCCTGGACGTTCCTGAAACTTTACTTGTTGAGCTTCCTAATAGTTACACTATTGCACCTTTTGCTGATGAATATGCTGGAAACGTCTTTATTTCGGGTATTAATGATGAATAAAATTAACCATCTCAGATATTGAGAAGGATAATGAATTATGGATGGCAAAACGATATTGGTTACAGCATGTGAACAGAGTTGTGAAAGAAAATGATGGACAGTTGCAAGAGACTCTAGTGACATATTCCGGTTTTTTCTCTCATGGTCAAAATTCAAATGATGTTAGACCAAGATCAACTGTTGGAGTGTTTCCTATATTATACGAGAAGTCGGCAACGATGGCCATGCATTCTATGCATATTGCTATGAGGCAACAGAATTCGTGAATTCCGGCCAAATTCCAGTGCTGCCCTCTTTACGCCCTGCAAAAAAAGTGTCAGTGGGTTTATCCAGATGACGTTGGTGAATCCAAGCTGGTATGCTGCATGGGTTTGCTACATGTCGAGATGACTTCGCAAGAATGCGTGGGAAATTTGTTGGCTGGATCAGGATGGAATCGGATGTTTTCCATAGTAAAAGTATTCACCTCTGGAATCGCAGTGTCTCTTCTTGTCAAATAATACTGTTGGACTTATCGGCTATACCTATATTCACTAGATATTTCCCAAACAACTAACATTATCTATTAAAAGATTTTTTTTAAAGTAAATTATTATACTTATTTATTTCCACTAATTTTTTGTTAAACTTTAACATGTTTCACTACACTGTAGCTTCATCAGAAAGATGTAGACATAAAAGTGAAATTGTCAAATATAAATAAGGTAAAAGCTGGTCTAATTTTACGTTAATCTAAAAAGGTATTATGCAATAAATAAATTTAAAAGTGGTGAATTGTTTAAATCTAATCTAAAAAAAAAAACTAACATTATCTTTGAAAATTGAAAAAAAAAACATTATTTATCATTATTATCAAAGTCTGTATGGGAACCACTACAAGGTTAATTTGAAAACTCTTAGCCGGCATTACTATCTAGAAATTATCGACTTTTGCTCTTATATTTTTTCCCCTTTGACAAATTTTCCCTTTTGTAATTTTTTCGTGCTCGGCTTTTTATCCATCAGTGTATCCCCCAACTGATTCCAGTTTCGCGAAATAAGCCGTATTATAAATTCACTTTGCCTCTTTGTATTTGCTCTTTTCCAACAAAGACCGTTAAACCCAAATTGCAACAAAACTTTTTACGTTCTCGGCAAATAATTAATTTTTGGTTAATTACTTCCGCGCCGTTGAAACTTCATTGTAATTAAAACTTTTCGAAAAGCGCTACTGGATTTTCGGGAAGAATGCAGCCGTTACTTTATACTTCTCTGAATCGTTATTTCTTTGATATATTTACTAGATGAGGCCCGTTAGTGGTCAGAAATTGAAGAACGGAACGCTTTGTGAAATTTCTTTTGAGCAAAGGTTTTAATTACGGACGAGAAGTTTGTAATTATTCTATAGGCCAACTCATTAGAAATACTATTATAAGTACCTATGTATATTGTAGGTTGATTCAAAATTATATTAATATAGCTATCTGCTGGTTCAACTCAGTAAATCGGATTTCAAAAATAATCTATGTTTTCAGAGGGACAATGTGAAACTTTTTGGATGCTTGGTAATCTATATACTATACTAGGTGAAGTAAGTTTCAAATGGTATTATCAGTTATTGCTTATTTAACGCTTAGCATCTTGTGGACTGGACGTTAGGTTGTTCATACACTTGTAGATTTTCAGTTTTCATTATTATCCTCGTTCAATCGTCATATTCTCAGGACTGCTTATTCGAATCTAATATGCTCAAGCCGGTAAGCCTTACGTAACTTTGTGAGTTCTCCTTACAACTTACTTCGAAATTCAAAGCTTCAAGATAATATTTTTTATTGTTCTGCCTTCGTCTATGGCTTTGAAAGCTCTTTATAATGGATGTGACATATTTCTAAATTGCCACCTCTACATATTAGCTATAAAAATCGAATAACGGTTCTCCGGACAAATCCATTTGAAGCTATTTATAACTGGGCGACTTAAACCGAGTGTGAAGCCCCAATAAAAATTGTGTTTATTGCTGGGAAGCGCGGAGTTAGCGCTATCAAATGGCAGTTATAAATCTTTATTTACCAATTTCTAAAAAGACGTTATAGTTCGATCAAAATTGGGGAAGTTCGCATAGAATATTTTAAAAGATATTCCAACCAAAAATTGCAAGGTTCTACCCATTATAATATAAAGTCTAGAATCGTTCCATAACAATTTGTTTTTTAAATTTAAATTAAGGTAAATATTTACATTAAGAGTAATGTGTTCGTTATACAGAGTGTCTTTAGATAAACTGATACATTTTACAGGTGAACATCTCGAAAACGAGAAAAGATAACGGGATGCGGTTTATGCTGGAAGAACAAGGATTTTTTAAAGTTTTTTTTCATGTTATTAACGAATCCTGAAATTTGGTTTTACAGACATTCGATTTTTTGAAATAATTACATGCTGCCTTATTCTTGATGAAACACCCGGTATATTTTATCATCGTCAAAAAGCGTGACTTTTCTTCTTTACAAAAATGTATAACTTTTTTCAATTATCTTTAAATTACATCTCAAAAATTGCACTATGTTAAAAAGGGTACCATCAAAAAAAAAAAAAAGAAATACTTCAAATAATTAGAGGCACTTTAAACTTTCAGGATTTATTGAGTAATGTCTTTTTATCAAAAAGAACAAACCGCGAATGGATATCAGGCTCAGAAATAGAATTATTAATTTTTTCCCATTTAAATGCAAAAA